TTATTTTATTTATTTGTAAGACTTTTTTAATGACGAAATTTGGTAATGGGAGAGTAAAATTATTTTTAAAACGTACACTGTTCAAACTAGGCTGCTTATGTTGAAGTGTTTGGGATGTGGCTTTTAATGATGAGACGTTTTGTAATCAGGCTCTCAAAAAGTATATAAAAATTTGGATATAGATTTATCGGCCAACATATCGGTTATCGACTTTCAAAAATAAAGAATTATCGGTATCGGCCAAAATTTTCATATCGGTGCATCCCTAGTGATATCGCACATCCCTAATTATAGTTTTAATGAGTTATTTTCTGTTTTTATTTCCATGTTTGATAAAGTTTCAGTAATTTTGTGTTATGATTTTTAACCGTTTTTTTTTTTTTTTATGTCTACATCGTTTTAATTATTTTTTGTTTTAATTTTATAGTACATTTATTTTATCTCAAGTAACACAGTTTTTTCATGGTTTATTTTTAGTTGTGGTGTGAACGAGCCTTTAAACTTAAAAGAATGATTTTCAAATGTTCGGACCTTGGTTTATTTGTAAACTGGTTCAAAATGTTTTGTTTGCTTATGTTCTTAAAAATCTTAAAATCGCAGAGAAATGCAGATCTGTTCTGCCATATGTTGCGCACCCGCATGAAACAAGAAAAAGTGTCCAGGGACTAGGTTTTATCCATCAGTAGTTGATTGGATATTGAGATGTGGGCGTCGGCCTTAAAAATGGAGGCGGATCTGAAAGAGGGCGGGATTTATGCGGACTACAGCATTGGAGAAGTCATGCAAAAATTAAATAATGAAACATTCATGCGCATCATATAACAAAAGCAATAAGACAATAACAGACTGAAAGCTCTAGTATGTTCTTGCCTGGTATCCCACGCAGTGACGGAGAGCGGGTCCCATCTCCTGCGCTACACGGTGCGCCACAGACACGGCGCTGATCCGGCGAGGCTGCGTGACCAGGATGTTGCACTCGGCTCTCCTGACTCTCCTGACCTGCCCCTCCAACAAGAAGCGCGGGATCCGTGTGGTCTTCCCGCAGCCCGTGATCACAACCATCACAACCACCTGTGAGGCCCTCACCGCCTCCAGCACGCTCTCTTTATAGGAGTCCACGGGAAGCTCCGCCCCTCTGCCAGGCCCCGCCCTCATCCACAGGCTGAGCAGGTGGTCGCTGAGAGACTCCGCCTCCTCATGGCGTAAAGCACGGTACCGCTTACCGGTGATAGCATCTGTAATCAAGGCATCATCATCATCATCATCATCATCATGAACGGGCCGCTGCTCCTCTTCATCCCACAGTTTCTGAACCTCAGCCTCCACTGGATACTAAACAAACACATATCAAACAGTCATGAACTGTTTCAACAATTAAATCAATATTACAGTGTATTTAGTTCTACAGCACTGCCGGATTTTTTTGCTTGTTTATTAGATAGGTGTCCTTTTCATTCTAAGCATTTCCGTTAGGGGTGTGCGATATTTATCGTCTATGATAATATCATAATTGTCGTTTTAACGATGTGCGAGCTGACATTATCAAGTATATGCAAAAAAAACCTGAATGCAGTTAAAATGCCCATTTAATTCACGTTATGAAACACAAGCAAGAGTGCGTTTTCTTGAATATTACAGCTTGAGTTCGACTGCAAATACGACATTGATTTTCACAAAACAGTTTAACAAACAATTTGCTAATATTAAATATGTTGCATGCATTTTAGACACAATATCATCATT